ACCAAATATCATCTACTTACCAAATGTATGGGGTTTTGTTTGCTCTTCAAATGCTGAAGAAGTTGATCTTGGGTAAGTTTTATGGTCCTGTGCATAGTCATTGTTCTTGCACTCATCTTTCTCATTTTCATCATAAAGTCCTGCCCTTCCCTCATTACTTACAACAGCTATGCTGTTCCCTAGATTTGAACATGTCTGGTTTAAGTGTGTGCTCAAAATATCTGCTTAGAGAAAGCTCCTTGTTACATCTTTAATTAACAACTGACACCAATTTCTGTTAGATTGTTACAACATTGTGACTGCTGGCATCATACCCTGTAGTCCAATAACTAAAGAAACTAGGAATGAAATATGTGATATTATAATCTGCTTCTAAATCATTGGGTAATTCTTGTAGCTATGAAGAGACTTGGAATGGTTTTAGAAAATTAACTAACTTTTATCTGATAAATATTTGCTTTTACCAAGGAGCACTGGCAAACTTTAAAATAGTTGACAATTTGATGTATGTTAACAGCTGATCTACTGACATGTGAAATTTTGGTGATTAGAAATAACTTTGCTTTGAAGATATGGTCAGTGGTGCAATGATTCTTTTATTTTGAAGGTGGATTAATTTGGTATAAGTTTATTAAACTGATGTTCCATGAAAACACCACTGAACAAATAAGCCCAGAGGAGCCCCCAGTGAAACACTGGATCTTTTTTTCTAGCACTAGTCTAATAATTATGATAATGGACAGGGGTAGATATGAAATTTTTAGTTTTCTAGGTAGCAATGTTAGTACGGGATATTTTAGATGCTTCATATATCACTAGACCTGTTAAAATAAGCCATAACAGTATTCCTGGATGAAATACATGCAAAGATTGCCCTCTAGAGGACATTCTGAATTATTTTTTTTTTTTTGGTGTATGGTTGTTGGGGGGGGTATTTTTTCTTCCTGATCTCATTATCATTTTCTGTTTTTACACTGCATGTGTCCTAGGAGGATGAAGTCCCTGGAAAAAAGGTACCAAAATATTCTGTACTCTGTTGGCCATCACCTGATCTGTCACCACACATCACATTGGTTTTGCTTTGTATCCTGTAGACCAGCCAATAAAAAAAAAAACAGCACAGAAAGTAGAGAAACAGTTGGAGTGTATCTGCCTATATTACAACCAGACCAATATGCTTAACCTGGTAAATTACCACCCCATGATTAAGTGGACAAAAAGTTCACTTAAAAGCTTTTTCCACCACCTTCACTACTTTCATTCCTGTGTAACTTCACTATTTTCATTTCATCAGCATAAGACTGTTTCTCTTGTTTTGCTATGCTACCTGTAAGCTTGACTCATATATTGATTTCCAGCAGTTTTACCTGGTATTTATTTATGCTTTGAAGTCATGAAAGACATAGTGTGGATGATGAAAAATAGGAAAAAGATACACGATTGTCAGATATAGACATCCATGAGGAAAACAGGTAAATACAGCAAAATTTGATTAAATATACCATGCACTTCATAAATATCCACTGTACTACTGAACTTCTAAGAAATTTTGTTGGCAACAAAAGGGGTCAAAGTGAACTCGGGCTTACCTTGTGTCTTACCTCCTACTCTATTTTACTTGCTACTGCCACTCGGTACACAGGATCGCTAGAACAAGTACAAGAACCTTTCCTGACCCATTAGTTTCTTGCTGTGGCTCTGAACACGGTATCCCAAATTAACTTCTGCTTTTGTTGTAGCCTCAGGAAGAACAAATTCTGCCAAGTTCTTAATTTTCTTACTCATTCTCCAAATTTCATTGTCTATATATTATTTTGTTTGCCTATACTTACTTTTTTTACCAGGGGAAGATAGAACAGTTTTCAAAATTATGCATGTGTGTAGCCCCATTTTTAGCGTCTGGAATGACTCTAGAAACTGACTAAATCTAGAAAAAACATTGAAGAATGGTCTTTCTGTGGTCTGCTGTGTCGTGTCACATACTGTTACTGCAGCTCTAATGCTCCATTTCACTCTACATGTTCTCTTCTGAAGGTTTGCAGAAGTACTAGGTTTTGAGGTTTTGTTTTGGCCTTTTTTCTTCCAGTCATAATTTTTCTCCTGCTTGATCAGACAATAAAGCCAGAATCTTCTTTGTTGTTTGCTCAGTTTGTCTCTTGCCAGAGACAGTAAAATTAGTGTCACCTGTTTACCAATACTCTTAAGCAGGATCAGGGAGGAATGAGTTCCTGGCAGGGCAAAAAAGCTTCATTAAATGAACTTTGTAGTCTAGTACTTTTGGCAAGATAAGTCATGGTTAAAAGGCATTACATGAAGTAAAAGTGTAAGTGTCCCACTGAGTACATGTATATACTTTTGTACCCCAGCCTCTTCCTTTCTATTTATCTGATTTTAAAAAGTGACAATTCAGGAAACATTAAAAAACTCCCACATGATGCTATAAAGTGTATTGCAGAATTAATTTGACAATGATCACATTGTATCTAAGTTTATTTTTCAGTATAAGGGTGGGGAAAATAAGGGAAGTGAAAATTGTGTGGTAACTTGCAGAGTGCTTGCATCACTGAATTCCATGTAATCAGATTTCACAACAAATCGTGCTAAAATTGTAACTGTGATTTCATTCTAATATACCTTGAACTCTTAACCTCATTTTGCACTGAAGGAACAGAAGGTTCATATATGAAACGTTCCTTAGAATGGTTTTCTCAATCATCTGAATATCAATCTTACTTAACTTTGCATATCATTTTTATTCAGTGCAAGTAATAGAATCATAGAATCACAGAATAGTTAGGGTTGGAAAGGACCTTAAGATCAAGTTCCAACCCCCCTGCCATGGGCAGGAACACCTCACACTAAACCATATCACCCAAGGCCTCATCCAGCCTGGCCTTGAACACTGCCAGGGATGAAGCATTCACCACCTCTCTGGGCAACCTATTCCAGTGCCTCACCACCCTAACAGGAAAGAATTTCCTCCTTATATCCAATCTAAACCTCCCCTGTTAAGTTTTAACCCATTACCCCTTGTCCTATCACTGCAGTCCCTAATGAAGAGTCCCTCCCCAGCACCCCTATAGCCCCCTTTCAGATACTGGAAGGCTGCTATGAGGTCTCCACGCAGCCTTCTCTTCTCCAGGCTGAACAGCCCCAACTGTCTCAGCCTATCTTCATATGGGAGGTGCTCCAGTCCCCTGATCATTCTCATGGCCCTCCTCTGGACTTGTTCCAACAGATCCATGTCCTTTTTATGTTGAGGACACCAGAACTGCACACAGTACTCCAGGTGAGGTCTCATGAGAGCAAAGGGGCAGGATCACCTCCTTTGACCTGCTGGTCACACTCCTTTTGATGCAGCCCAGGATACGGTTGGCTTTCTGGGCTGCAAGCGCACACTGAAGCCGGCTCATGTTCATTTTCTCATCGACCAGCACCCCCAAGTCCTTCTCCGCAGGGCTGCTCTGAATCTCTTCTCTGCCCAGCCTGTAGCTGTTGCTCCGACCCAGGTGTAGGACCTTGCACTTGGCATGGTTAAACTTCATGAGGATGGCATCAGCCCACCTCACAAGTGTGTTGAGGTCCCTCTGGATGGCATTCCTTCCCTCCAGCGTATCAACCGAACCACACAGCTTGGTGTCATCGGCAAACTTGCTGAGGGCGCACTCAATCCCACTGTCCATGCCAGTGACAAAGATGTTAAACAAGACCGGTCCCAACACCGATCCCTGAGGGACACCACTCGTTACTGGTCTCCAGCCGGACATTGAGCCATTGACCACAACTCTTTGTGTGTTGCCATCCAGCCAGTTCTTTATCCACCGAGTGGCCCATCCATCAAACTGATGTCTCTCCAATTTAGAGACAAGGATGTCATGTGGGACAGCGTCGAACGCTTTGCACAAGTCCAGGTAGATGGCATCAACTGCTCTACCCCTGTCCATCAGTTCTGTAGCCCCATCATAGAAGGCCACCACATTGGTCAGGCAGGATTTCCCCTTAGTGAAGCCATGCTGGCCGTCACCAAGCACCCTGTTGATTTTCATGTGCCTTAGCATGCCTTCCAGGAGAATCTGCTCCAAGATTTTGCCAGGCACAGAGGTGAGACTGACTGGTCTGTAATTCTCCGGGTCATCCATTTTCCCCTTCTTGAAAATGGGGGTTATATTTCCCTTTTTCCAGTTGTCGGGAACTTCACCTGACTGCCATGATTTTTCAGATATGATGGCCAGCGGCTTAACAACTTCATTTGCCAGCTCCTTCAGGACCCACGGATGGGTTTCATCAGGACCCATGGACTTGTGCACGTTCAGATTTTTAAGATGGCCTCGAACCAGTTCCTCTCCTACAGTAGACCCAAGGTCTTCATTCTCACAGTCCCTGCATCTGCCTTCCAAGACTTGGGTGGTGCGGTCAGAGCCTTTGCTAGAGAAGACCGAGGCAAAGAAGTCATTCAGAACTTCAGCCTTCTCCAAATCCTGTGTTGCTAGCTCTCCCGAGAGCTTCCTGAGGGAGCCTGCATTCTCCCTAGTCTGTTTTTTATTTGCTACGTACCTGTATATAATAGCTTCTATATTTTAGAAAGTCCTTCAGCATGGCCGTTTTAATTCTGGCAATATGAAATTATGCTATGATTATCTTGACTATAAAAGCTACATGTGTGTACACTAGAACTGAGTTCTCCAAATCTGAGTTGTTCTTCATCCGCAGACAGGGTTGTCCCGCAATTTAATCAAGCTATTACAGTCTAACTTCAGCTGTTTCTTGGCAAAATCAATCTCTGCTGACAGCTTTATGCCACGTACACACAAAGCCACTGCCTAGCTCTTAAGAACCTTTTCAGCATTGCTTCATACAACCAAAAGCTCTTTGGCCTGAATATGAATGCACATCTTTAGAACTGTCCATACTAATTGGCATATTGAAAATAGGATGTAATCTATATAGCCACTTCTTTAGAAAAGTTCATCATAAAGCTGAATTTTATCACATTCAAATAGTAGTTTTAGCTATATATTTTGAGTTCTTCTTCTACACACTGTGAAAAAAGGTTAACTGCTTGGCTAGTGTCGAGACATCCATTTTGCAGGATTGATTCCATTTCATTTATCTTCTGTTTCTCCAACTCCTGTATATCTTTCAGCATCTCTTTACCTTTGCCCTGCAGAAAGAAATGTCCGTATTTCAATAAAAGCTATACAGAGCATGTAGTGTTCACCCTAACAAAATTCTGTTCTACTGTCCCTATTTTAACCTCTTAATAGTTGCTGGGGTACAAGTTTGCGTTGGCAGAAATATTAGCACTATGACAGGTTTCCTTAGGTATCTTTCCTGATATGTAGTATCTACATCTGCCTACATCCTTGTCTGATGGACTGAAAATGAACAAAACTAAAGCTCTAGGTATTTATGCTACTAAAACGTAAGTGGGCATGTGCCTTATTTTTTAGAACATGTATCTATAAATAGGAGATATCCTACTGTTAAGGCAATCAACTACATCCCTGCTTCACCTTTGTGTCCCTTGACCTTTCTGATCCTGTTTCCTTTCTTGTCCATACCAAGCAACGATAAAAGGCATGCCCTCCTTACTGCCTGAGACCAGGGCCCTTACCAGGAGTTGTGCATTTGCCTGTGGGTGCTCAAGTATTTTCCCCATTATCTAACTAGTGAAGGAGTATGTGTGGCCTGCTGCTTTGCAAGATGAGCATTACGGATATCTATCTATGGCTAGGCCTAGGAGTACCGCAAAACGCTAGTTGCAGTTTTTAGTGTTTGAAACATATGCCTGCCAGATGCCAACACCACGGGCTGCTTCTGATACACTACAATGTTCTTCACAATCCATCAAAGGGCATTATATGGTAACACATTAACAAAATGTGAGCTTATATAAACCACCTGCTTTCATTGAAATCTAATTTAATCAATGTACCTCCATAGTTTCCATAACTACAGCAGCACTTTCATGTTTTTTATAGAGCTCATGTCTTCGATCTGGCTTAGTCTGAAAACGTGGTTGCTTCTTAACTGGATCATCTTGGCCAAAATTAGGGGAGCTGGTTTTCAGCAACTGAGTAACATTGGGCACAAAAATGAAAGGCTTGAAAACAGACCTAGAAAGAGAAAACAGAACAGAGATCTTTTACTGATAGTTTTTATAAAATTGTTGAGTGGGTAAATTGCTGTATTTTCCCCATTCTTCTAATTCCTTCTTTTAAGAAATGTCTTTTTAAAAAAGATTATCTCCTGATGTTTAAGTTGGTGACGTAGCAGTGTTTCGTTAAATAGGTTGGTATATAGTATAATGTACATCGTGTTCCTCCTACTTTTTGATTGTGCTTTTTTGGGGGGAGGACAACACAGAACTAAAAAAGAATATAATTAGAAAAACTGCATCACTTCTTAGTTTAGATATTTGTGAATTTTATCCTAATTACTTGCTGCCACATCACCTTGCAGGATCTGGAGTTCCAGTAAAGAAGTGAATGCATGGCAGATTAGGCTGCTGAGGCAATACAGACACCATGCTTCCAGTTGTCATAAATCCACCTTCCATATTAATGCCACTCTCTTTGTCACGAAGAATTTCCATCATTATTTCAGAAGTGATAGATCCTATTAAAGATACAATACAATTATTTACACACACTGCTACTTATAATACCAACTAAATGGCATGTTTTTTACAACTGGCTGCTTTTTCCTTTAGTAGGTAATACTAATTTTAGCTTGTCCGTGTTGGCACAAAAAAATAATCTTTTCAACAGCATACCTTAATATGTAATACACTTTGAAATGTTGTTGTTTTCCCCAAAGTATTTATTTCAAGGAATAGGTGATAATGAGCTGTAACATTTATGACTTAAAGAAGGGGGAAGACAACAACACATGATGCTTCCCAGAAAGATAAAATACATATGGCTAGCAAATGGTCATTCAAACAGTAACTTTTTGGTTGAAAATTAGCAGCTTGAATTAAAGGCTGAAATTTCTGAGCACAGCATGGAAGATAAATCATTATAATGGTTATTAGTATTTGTACACAGTTAATGCCACTATGTTGCTTTAGAAATGTAAAAGTAACAACTGTGCACAGATTTTGTGTGTAACTTTGCAAATGATAACACCAAGACTGTCACTTTTTTTTTCTTATTATTTATTCTCCGTTATCTGACCTTCAAAGCACTTAAGCTTTAAGTTGACAATAGAAAGGATGCACTGGAGTAATATATTCTATACTCAGAAACTACAATAGTACATCCATTTGTAAAGAAGTCTTAATCAACTATGTATGTGAGGTATACTGCCAAATGTCTCTTTAAATTCTTCCTGGGTGACACAAACCCTTTTCCACATATGCCTCTGCATCTAGCATTCAAATGATAATGCTGATTGCGTATAACATACACTGAAGCTTAAATACCAGCACAGTATCACCAAACAATCCAATACTGTAACAGGCAGCACTTGCAGTAGTTTTCTGGTGTATCAGCTGAGGGTATGCTTATGGCAGAAAACAGCAATTCATGCAATTTTATTTTCTTTGAAGGCATCATCTACCATCTCATCTTTAAGTGTTGCCCTCAGTGAAGTTCTCCCTGCATAAATACTTTTTAACTGCCTTGCTGTTTTCTCTTAAAATAATGATTCTGCTGCTGAGTCAGATTTCTCTAGTGTTATTTTTTTATACACAATTCAATTGGCTGTGGACAGGCATGCAGCACTACATTTCAGCGAGGAAACGCTCTTAAGTATTCCCACAGTAGCCTGGGAAAGTCAAAGAATTCAAGCAATCAGCAAGCTAGATGAATTAAGGATATCAAAAGAAGAAACAATGAGTTTGTGAACTACCAGTTGACAACTTGTCCATCAGGAAAGAAGGTATTGCATATTTTCCACTAGACATCTTTATTATTTCGTATTTCTGAAATACATTCCCTGCTTTTTTGAAATAGAAATAATGTTTATCTAAAATGGTCTTCACATGGTAGGCAGCTTGGAAAAAATGTAATGCCACTGAGTGAAAAAGCTGTGAAGGATACATTAACAAACCAGTGATTTTACTGATGCTGTAAACCAAATAGCTTTTAGTTAGGGCACCTATTTAAAATAAATCTAAACAAACTGAAACCATACAAGGCTGATAACCAGAACACCCAGTGTGATTTTTAAAATGGCTCAGTTAAATGCCTGAAAATGGGGATTTAGAATGAAAACGCTGATAGAATCTCAGCATTTTTATAATACAAGTAAACACAGGTATTATGAAAACGCTTTCAGTATTCAGAACCTGCAATTCCCAAAATGAATGCAGGATTTACATGATCACTAAGGCAGGACAGCAAAAGGTGATTCATTCTGATGCATTAACTAAATGCTAAACCTGGTCTGGCAGAGCTCAGCCAAATAAATAAACAAAACACAGGGGCACAATGTAATTTGGGTTCAGATTAATTACTTCAAATGAGCAGTGAATACAGACACAGCAAAAACCTGCCGGGTGCATGCCGTTGGAAGAGAAGCAACAGCTTTTTTTTCTATAGAGGTCTGAAAAATAAGTGAATAAGTTAGTGATTAGGAGCACCTGTGTAGACAGAAAAACATTTTGTTCTGCTCTCCGGGTGTTTTGTCAGACTGCACAAGGTTAGAGTAGTGGTTACTGTGAAACTACAAAGGTTTAAAACCAATCTCAAAAAAGAAATGCAAGTTATGTATCTGAATGCTGCGCTGCTCTCTTAGGCCTCTATGAATGGTATCAGATTGAAGCTGTTCATAAGGTTCTGTTTGTGGCTGCAAACTACTGGGAATCTGTTTTAGCCTCTCTTTTGGGGTTGCCTTTTTTTCTTTTTCTTCATAAGTTTAGTAGTAACACATAGCAAAATGTTTCAAAGCAGATCTCACAGAGTGTTTAGTGGTATGGTCAGAATGTGTCCTCTCAGTGTTGCTAGTGTAACTGTGTGTTTGATACTTGACCCTTGTTTTATTTTGCCTCACCAACAAACTGGCAATGGATAGAAGACTTCAGTGTTTCTCCTTCTGCCAAAAAGTTATTCTAGTAAGTTCAGGTTCACCAAATCACATGAATGACTGCCCACATTAGATAGCTAATAATTTATGATTTAAATTAATATGGCTCACTAAATGCTTTGCATATCTTAAAATATATATATATAAATGGTACCTTTGTGTTTGTTCAGAAGTTTATAGCCTTCACAATATCGTCCTCTGGATGTGGTCATTCTGGCAGTATTTACATAAGAATATGTGGCAGCGAAATCAAATTCCTTTACCCCATCCCACCAGCCCTTGCTTTTGGCGTATTCCCTCAGTCCTGGGTGTTCTCTGTCAATCTTGGTTGTGATAGAGAGCTGGTTGGAAATATTTCGTACACCTCCTGTTTGTAAGGTAAGGAAAGAATCATTCTAACACACTGAATTTTTTTATTGGCATTTTGTTTACAATTAGCTTACTGAAGTAAATTATGCATTGAAGAGTTTTCTACAAGATCTGAGAGTCCTGTGGTTTTATTTTTGGCCCTCTCTCCCTGGCTATACATATATCCTTCCAATTGAAATTCCACTGGCACTCAGTTCTGACTTGCTTCTAGTTCCAACATCATACTTCAGGTTGTGCCCTGATTATTCTTATCCTTATGTTCTTCCTCTTAAGACCTCCAAATCTTGTCCTCTTAAGTCGGCTGGAAGAAAGACACTTGAGGGCCTCATGCATTAATCCTGTCAGCGCTGCCCTGCCATCAAATGAAATTGTCATTGATTGCCAACATCCTTAGGCCCACACATCATGCTGTCACTTTCATGCTGTGACCCTCTTGCTTGCCCTCTGTTTTCCAAGTGCAGAACTGGTCCTCTGATTCTGAAAAGGCCCCCTGTGACTCAGCTCCTCTGTGAAAGGCCTAGCCACTGCACACTGATGACCTAGGAAGCAACTTCTGTTGTTTACAGGCACACATACATATGATGCCTTAATGACATGAAAAGTGGAGAGCTGCTAATTGTCATTGCATTTGAAATGTTTAAAACGAAAATCATCATCCATACCTTCTACTTTTTCTGCTGCCCAGTATTTTCCTGATGTCTCCAGCACCCATGCTTCCTTTCTGTCAGCTATCAGAAAGCTGTTATAGTATGTAAATGCCATGTGGCTCTCCATACAGTTTCCTCCCTGTCCATATTTTTCTAGCAAATCGACTATGACAGAAAGAGCCTTTTCAGCTGTGTCTGCTCTCTCAAGTCCAAGCCTAAAACAAAAGGAAGATGTTATCTTGGGAAATATAAACTTCACATAAAACTATACAGTCTAAGTATTCAAATTGACTTGGAATGCTATTTCTATATGCACCTGATGCTTGTATGCTCCGGTAAGAGAAAGGAGCAAGTCACTTCAAGGGTTTGAAGTAGGTCCTCTCTGTCCTTGACATGGGGAAAACAATCAAATGGAAACAGAGAAAAGCAGGGAGACAGTGGGCCTAGGACAGGAAATGTCTGTAATACCAGTGCAGGTATGGGACTGACAGTCTGCTGTAGGTTAATGGGCTTACACTGGCACGCTGTAAGACAGGCACAAGAAGCTGCATTATTTATGTGGAGATGTGTAGCTATGACTGAAACTTAAAAATACGTGTGTGAAAGAGGAGGGAAACAGGAAATGAGTAGACACCCTAGCAAAAGGCCCTCACACTAGATGCTGAGGTCCAGCTGCGGTCTTGTTAAATGTCTTGTTTCAGTTTAGTATCAATGTTGTAGAGAGAAAAAACATTTGATGATTTCCTTGACCTATTCTGCCCTTGTGTCTAATACCTCTCATGGGCTCCGAGCTCCTGGCAGAGATCTAATGCCTGTGCCAAGAAATACTTAACTTTTAACCACGGCTCTAGAACAGCAGGCAGACATGTCTTCTGACAGTGAACGCACGTATATCCCCATACAACTCAAGCCAGACGTTTCAAAACTAAGTTCTGAGTCGGGTGCCATTTACCAGAATAGCCCGTGCAAACCTTACGAGGTCCATGCCGAGGAGAGCTTCCTCATCGCCCACCTCCTCTCTGCCCCACACCGCTTCGTTCCCGATGCACACGCCGTGCTCGTTGGCGCCCATTTCAGCCCCCCAGAGCCAGGCGGGCCGGCTCAGGACCACGGCGCAGGTCTTCTCCACTTGCTCGATGGTGATGTAAGTGCACTGCAAGAAGTCAGAGCACGTAATATCGCTTTGGTGCACATCTCCCCTTAGTTAATCCACCAAACCGCGGGCTAAAAATACACAGAAAACAGGACTAAAGGGTGGGTTTTTCCGGAAGGGCTCGCCATCCCCCGCTCCCTCACCTCCAGCGCGGCGCCAGGCGGGTGCGCGGCGGCCGGGAAGTGCACGACCTCCTGCACCTCATCCGCCGGCCGGTCCGAGTTCTTCCCGAAGACTACGCGGGCCCCCGCCGCGGCGGGCGGCAGCGCCACGAAGGTGTCGCAGGATCGAGGCAGCGCTTCGGCGAACATGGTGGCAGCAACAGCAGCCTCCCCTCCTCGGGCCCTGGCGGTGGCGGAGCGGGGCGGGGCCGGGCTCGGCCGCCGCTCAGGCCCGCCCCGCAGGAAGGCCCGCCCGCCGACCCGGAAGGCCCGGCGGGGCAGTTGGCTGAGGGACCGGGTCGGTGCAGGGGGTTCTGTCTCACCGTCGCCGGCGCTATGGGGAAGTCTTTCGCCAACTTCATGTGCAAGAAGGATTTTCACCCCGCCTCCAAGTCCAACATCAAGAAGGTGAGAGAGGCGGTGGAGCCCTTGCGGCGCTTGACCGGTGGCTGCACTGTCCCCTCAGGCGATCGGTTAGGCTGTGTGAGGCTCGCACCGGGGCGCTGGGACGGGGCCGGTATACCGCAACGGCATGTCGGCTTTCCTGAGGTGGGACTGGGGCTGGGAGAAGAAAGAGGCAGGGAGAAAAGCGAGGAGATAGTTGAAGTCCAGATTTACGCAGTCACCGGTGCGTATAACCGGTGCCGTATCGCCTTTGCCTGGCTCCACCTGGATGAACAGGCACCACGCATCGCCCAGGAAAGCAGCCGCGATGTGCCCATGTTTTCCCGGTGTTTCACACCTGCCTTGACCTGGTTCCAAATCTCGCTTTCCCAGAGCTGGACCATTCCAGGGGCTCCAAGAGAACCTGGGGTTTGGGGGCTCTGAGACTTCCGTCAGGAAGTGTTGCAGTGGGAAAGACAGTGTCACAGCCACGGTGTCTTCTGAGCCTGCTTTTCCCTTTGGATCACTCAAATTTTGTCATATCTCTTCAGTTTTTAAATCGTATTGGAATTGTAGCTTATAAAATTCACCCTGCTTATGTGAAGCTCATTTGTTGAAATGCTGGATGAAAATAGTATATTTTGTGTGATTAGAATGGGAATTTTCACTTGTTAAGTATTTTCAATAGATTAAGCTAGTTAAGTATTTATACGTGAACATATTTAGTGGTGGGGTTTGTATTTGTTTAAAGTACAAACTTGTTTTAAATAGGTATGGATGGCGGAACAGAAAATATCATATGATAAGAAGAGACAAGAAGAATTAATGCAACAGTATCTGAAAGAACAGGAATCCTATGATAACAGGTGAGAACTGGCATAAGATCACACACTTTTCTCACTGCTTTTGGTTTTCATGGCAATAAGGAGCATACTGTGGGTTATTTGGAATGCTGCCTCCCATTAGCTGTAGTAGTAGGAGAGGACAACGACTCATAAATTGATTTAGGATTAACTAGAGGTCACAAGAACTTCTTTAAGGTGGCTTGTGTCTTCTAATTGATTTCAGAATATGCTGTGTTGCACAGAACAGCAAGTAACCTTGTGTGACAGCGTATTTTGTAGAATCATAGAATGGTTTGTGTTGGAAGGGATCTGAAAGCTCATCCAGTTCCAGCCCCCTGCCACGGGCAGGGACACCTTCCACTAGATCAGGTTGCTCAAAGCCTTATCCAGCCTGCCCTTGAACACTGCCAGGGATGGGGCAGCCACATCTTCTCTGGGCACCCTGTGCCTCACCCCCTCACAGGGAAAAATTTTTTCCTAATGCCTAATCTAAATCTTCCTTGTCACTTTAAAGTCATTTCAGCTTGTTCTCTCTATGTGCCCTTGTAAAAAGTCCCTCTCCCGATTTCTTGTAGGCCCCCTTTAGGTGCTCGAAGACTGTTACAGGGTTTCCCTGGAGCCTTCTCTTCTCCAGGCTGAACAGATCTGTCTTTCATAATTCTGTGGAAACAGTTATGTTTGTTGTGGTTGAAATGTATAGGTTTTGGTATGCAATGGATCATGCAAAAGTATTGACTGGTCTCAGGTTTTTTGACACTTGACTTTTGTTACTCAAGTTAACAAATGAAGAATTACGTTATTATAACAATTTCCTGTTGCACTTTTTTTGTATATAAATAATACTCCAAACTCTGTCCTTTTTACTTAGGTTGCTTATGGGGGATGAACGTGTGAAGAATGGACTTAATTTCATGTATGAGGCCCCACCTGGAGCAAAGAAAGGTACTGTGGTTTCCTGATCGTGAGCAGGCAGGACTGCAGAGCCTAAAGCCTTCAGAAGAAATAAGCATCATGTCTTTTATTTTAAAACAATGTGTTCATAGTGAGGTAATGCTACAAGGTGTGATTTCCAGTTCTTCTGGGAATATGCAGACATGCATAGCATGTAACAATTTTGATCTCACAATGCTTTACATTCAGACTGAGAATGGTTGGGTTTTCTTTCTAAATAACAGTACAATGTGAGGGGAAAAAGGAAGATAAAATATCTTTCCTGGCAACAGCAGAAATACTGTCCTTGACCAGAGGTGTTTCTTTAGCCTATTTTAAAGCCAGTGGATGAGGAGGACTACACCTTACCAAGGTGGTGACTCAGACCACACAAACCTGTATTTTGGCAGAGTTACTTTCACTTAAATTTCTTCCCGTAAATCAGCTTGATGTGTGTCATGCACAGAAAGTACCCAAACAATAAGTTAATTAGTTGGAGTTTTATAAATAATAAATACAGAGATTCTTTAGCCAGAAATGCTGGCTAACCTGACTCTGGCAGGTGTGACTATGACTGTATTTAGTAGATTCATAAACAGAAGTTACTGACTACTCCGTGGATACTTAGTCAATTTTAGGGAAATCTGAATATAAGTGCAGATCTAAGACTATATACTCCCATTAAAAGAAAACATGTTCCCTTTAAAATGCATCTTTCCCATTTGCGATAAAACTCTTGGAAATGCTTGGAGGGGCTCATTCTCATGGAGCAACTTTCGCAATTGTTTTTAAAGCTCTTAAATTAATCCTTTAAGCTTAGAGTAAGTACAATTTTAAACTAGTGATTTTTGCTAAAAATTCCTTTTTTTTAAATTCAAAGTATTGTTGCTACTTTTGGGAAAAAAGATTGAAATTTTTGGTATTTTTATATCAAATCAGTGTAGTTTTGAAAGATTATTCGTGTTTCGCACATTTGTAACCATATGCTAGATGCTGATTATTTATGTGTGCTTTATTTACTTTCTAGTTGCAGAGTATTTGCACTATTGTATTAATGTAAACAAAATGTTTTGTCTCCAGCTTAGATACCAGCTGCATTTTACATGTATGAGTAACATATTATTTCTTTTCTTTCCATGATTTCTGAAAATTCCAAGAGGAAGCTAAAGAGGTATTTCATTACATCGTTTCTTTATGTTTTCTTCCTACTTTCTTGAAATGTATTAAAAAAAAAGAATCAAACTTACCATGTTTTCTATTTTATAGCAAGAAGGAGACACAGAATACAAATTTGAATGGCAAAAAGTGGCCCCTCGAGAAAAGTAAGATGTCTGATTTTATCTGAATAAATATATTTCTTATTACCTGCCTTTCAGATCCTTTTCTCTTTTTTTCTTCCCTTTCCCCATTTTATTTTTGAAGAGGTCACTTGTATAATCTCATCATATCATAATATAGTTATATATATTATATAATATGATTATATAATGTATAGTCTCATCATCATAACAAGGGAAAGTGTAGAGTCCTGCATCTGGGCAGGAACAACCCCAGCTTCCAGTATAGGTTGGGGAATGACCTATGTATGAGGGCAGTGTAGGGGAGAGGGACCTGGAGGTCCTAGCGGACGACAGGATGACCATGAGCCAGCACTGTGCCCTTGTGGCCAAGAAGGCCAACGGCATCCTGGGGTGTATTAGCAGGGGGGTGGTTAGTAGGTCGAGAGAGGTCCTCCTTCCCCTCTACTCTGCCCTGGTGACACAGCATCTGGAATATTGTGTCCAGTTCTGGGCCCCTCAGTTTAAGAAGGACAGGGACCTGCTGGAGAGAGTCCAGCGCAGGGCAACTAAGATGATTAAGGGAGTGGAGCATCTCCCTTATGAGGAAAGACTGAGGGAGTTGGGTCTCTATAGTTTGGAGAAGAGGAGATTGAGGGGTGACCTTATTAGTGCATATAAATATATAAAGGGGGAGTGTCACGAGGATGGAGCCAGGCTCTTCTCAGTGGCAAGCAATGATAGGACAAGGGGCAATGGGTACAAACTGGAACACAAGAGGTTCCACTTAAACTTGAGAAGAAACTTCTTCTCAGTGAGGGTGACGGAACACTGGAACAGGCTGCCCAGGGAGGTTGTGGAGTCTCCTCCTCTGGAGACATTCAAAACCCGCCTGGACACGTTCCTGTGTAACCTTATCTAGGTGTTCCTGCTCCGGCAGGGGGATTGGACTAGATGATCTTTTGAGGTCCCTTCCAATCTCTAACATACTGTGATACTGTGATATCCTGGCAGTTAATTAGTAAAACCTGTAAACCTGGAACTGTTTTCTTGATAAGCTCAAGTTCTTGTTTGAATTTTACATCTGTCTGTCAAACACATTAAAACTCATGTTTACTGGAAGTACATCTCTGAAATGGATACACACTTAACAATCAAAGATAATTTTGTATATGATGGTTTAAAAAATAATGTAAACTCTGTATTTATTTTCTTTTGTGTTTGTGTAACAGGTACGCTAAGGATGATATGAATATCAGAGATCAGCCATTTGGTATCCAGGCAAGTTACATAAATTTCACTCTATGGATGTCTTGGGTATCTTTCAAATATTGTCTAGCTACAGCATTCACATGAGCTCTCTTAATTTTATCATTTGTTTCTCAGTGAATTTAAAAGCTTCTCTTAATGCCTAATAACAGACATTTCTGTAAATGTTAATCTATGTTATTAACTAAGTTATGTCAAGTCTTTTATTTTTATTCTTTTTATTCCTTTTAGGTGCGGAATGTGAAATGTATTAAATGCCACAAGTGGGGCCATGTAAACACTGACCGAGAATGTCCCTTATTTGGCCTGTCTGGAATTAATGCAAGTTCTGTCTCCACTGATGGTTCAGGTAAGCAATGAATATCTTTTAAAGATACGTGGGTTAGAAACCTTTGGGGAACTTACCATGTTTAATTTTAGGATGCTTAAGTTTCAGTATTTCAAAGAGTTGATGAAAGAGGGAAA